ACTAATCAAGGCGTTCACGACTACTAAGAACTATTAAGCAGGTGAGTGTTGGAACTAGACTGTGCAGAGCTGTGGCCCTCCAGGAATTGAGTTTGAGACCATTGTTCTAGGGTGTTGCATATTATTCTCTAAACAAATCATATTAAAAAAAGGAACATAACCCAGAAATGTTTTCATTAGATTCAGTAAAACATAATTTCTAATTTTTATGAGATTTAAAAATAAGTTGTTGGAGTATTAACAAAGTCCCTTTAGGACAAACCATTTCATCTAACAAGGACTTGTCATAGCAAATACTTATTGGTGCTCTTTTGTTGTTCTAATTACTTCTGTTGTCCTCATTCGTCATTCACATGGCATATTCACACTAACGTAACTTCATTGTTGTAGGAAATGTATTATCTGCAAGACCCTCCATCTGTTTGTGCACTGAACTAATTACACAATCACTTTAAGTTACAGGACGAAATGGAGATGAAATGTCCAGTCTGCGAGCTCTACAAAGAAGAAAGTACAAAGACTTTTTTAAACACCTTGCAACACATCTTAGAACAGATGAATGCTGAAAGAATCTGTGCTCCATAGGAAATGAAAAGAAGATGCATCAGGAAAACTTTAAGTACGTGATCTGAAGGAGCGGTTCTGCAGACACTGAAGTGCTTCTCCAGAGGTGGCAGAACAGACGCCGTATTCTAAGCTACAAGCATACTGCGCACATCTGTATATGCAAAGATATATTTTCATAAATAAATTTTAACTTTTATAGAATATGTGCCACAATTGTGTGCTTTGACAGCAAACTACCTCTAAATCCATGACTTCTGTTTCATTGATTATGTACTCTTCTGTTAAACAACATCTGTTACTTTAGAGTGTCCTTATTATAATGCTTTTAGACGATATCTATTGCAAAGCTGCTTGAAGATGTAAAAGTGTAAATCTGATTGTGAAACATCCATCTTAATGTCTTTGTGCAAGTGTAAACATGCCGGTCCTACGCCACCCAACCCACTCTGGGCTGGTATCGAACTGACGACCTTCCGCATGGGAGTATTGCTGGTCAGAGGAGTGAGGTTTATCTGCACAGCACTTATTAGCTAGCCTTCGTTACATAGCAGCTTTGAGTCAGCCTTAAAACTGATTCATTAAGCTTTTGACTGCAGCCTATAAATTGCTGATAAATTATAATAGACTGTCCCATCTCACCATTCAAATGAGGTTTTCAGAAAGTGGGGATTAGAGAAACAGGAACTTTGAAAACACCATTTCTGTAACTGTAAAATTAGCTTATACTGCATTAAATATGAGAACATTGTTATTTATTTATTTTTGTACATCTTTTAAGCATGTAATATTAAAATTAGGAATTTATAAATGAAACGGGGGAACTTGCACAGAACAACAACTAAATTAATTGAAAGTATTTAATTGTTAGAGGGATTTAAATAAACCTGGGCTATGTGATGAGACAAGTTCACTGAACTAACTTTGACCTTTTGATGCATGTTACATCATAATGATCCATTTGTTACTCAACACTCTCTCACTGCACTGTTTCTAAGGGTCTAGAAGCAAGTATAATGTAATGAACTTTACAAAAGGCCACTCAAAACCATTGCTGACAAACAAGCCAAGCCTGCTTTGATTTTTTAGCAATGTTCTTCCTTGCATTTATTGTTTATCTAGATGATTATCAGTCTTACAATGGCTTGTCGTGTTTACTTTTGACTGTTTCATGATGCCTTCAATGCCTTGTGTGCTCTTGAGATTAACAGCAGTTCAGCTATGAACTTGGCATATAGACAGAGTACACATTATTGCATAATGCAAGCCAGATTCTGCTGAATATCTGCATGCAGAGACACAAAATCCTTTAACATCTAAACTATAGAAAGAATGTGGCAGACTACATAAAACCGTAAAATACCAAAGCACTGAAATGAAATGAACTTATATAATGGACTACATGTTGACTGATTGCTTGATTTAGTGCAACAAACACAAACCGATGTACAATTCATGACACAAAAGCAATTTGACAGCATTTAAGAATTTCTGGGACATGCTGACAGATTACACTTTGGCGGTCTTTCAACATACAGTGCTTTGAATTTCTTACAACCTGAATCTGCTGCCTGATAAAGCATTTGCCATAATAACTGTCAGTATAACTGCTACTATACAGCAACATCAACACCAATTTAGAGCAATGTTGCAGCAGTAAACATCTAATTACTGTAAATTGTCAAAATTCATCAAATAAATTACACAGCATAAAAAAGTTGAGTTGCAGGTTATTTTTGTGCATAAGAATTTTATTTATTTATTTATGTATTTAATCTTTAGTAAACTTGTGGAAATTGAAAATTATGATGCATCTGCCTTGTTTTGAAAAAAAAAAATGGCTAGGATGGATATTGGACCTGAAACTGACACTCTCCATGTGTTAAGCACAAGAAAGAAAATAACACTGGTGAGTATACAAAAACAATTTCACATTAACAACAGTATTAAAATACCTACATTTGCAGTGTTTTAGTTACAATAATTTGAAGAAACAGCAATGCCTAATAGTATAGGAACATTATTAACAAAAATGGTAACAAATTGCTTTAAAAAGTGATTCTGTGATTTGTTAGCCTATATAGTGCACATACAGTTTAGTTGAATAAATAAAAATGTATCATAAAAACTGGTGATTTTTAGGTCTTAATATCTTAAGTCTCAAGTTTACTCATATCACTCGTTCAAATAGGTCTTTAACTGATTTAAAAAATAAGCCAGAGTTGTAAGGGAATTTACATGACATTTCCTGCCTTTTGTCATTTTATTTATTTATTAGATTGAATACTTTACAGTAACTGTAATCTGATTATGAACATTAAACACATACACTAACTGCAAGATTATTTATTCATTAATTTTTGGCTTAGTCCCTTTATTAATCAGGGGTCGCCACAGCGGAATGAACCGCCAAATTATCCAGCATATGTTTTACGCAGCGGATGTTCTTCCAGCAGCAGCCCATCACTGAGAAACACCCATACACTCTCATTCAAACACACACACACACACACACACACCACAAACAATTTAGCTTACCCATTTCACATGTACATGTCTTATGGTTGTAAGGGAAAACCCACGCGAACACGGTGAGAACATTCAAACTCCACAAAGAAATGCTAGCTGAGCCATCCTGGGCTCGAACCAGCGACCTTGTGACTGTCGGGCTACCCACAACCCTTATTTGTTTGAATGTTTGTTTGTATTATTTATGCGAATGTTCTTCGCTAGAAACACGTTTTTTTTCTCCAAGGCTCTTGAGGGCGCTGTACATCTGCCTCGTCTGTGTTTTTTACGGAAGTTCACGAAAAGAAAACATTGGCCTTCGCTGCCAGGTTGAAGCGAACAAGACAGCTGTTAAAAGGTAAAATTCGACTTTGTCCGCGTTTTATTTTTGAATGTATGATTGTCATCGTTATACAATTTGTTTGAAAAAATTAAACATGTCTGTGATAATTACACGACGAGATTCATTTGTAAAGGCAGGCATAAGTTAGCTAGCACATGTGCTAATTCCAAATGGCCAGGATTAGCCAGAGCATATCACCATAAAATACACAAGATAAAACTAGATGGTGGTAACATGTTGTGTTCAACTTTTAAGTCGTGCCATTCTTACGCTAATACCAAGCTAACGTGGTTTATTTAATCAAGTCCCAGTACTATCGTCATTTGTCGTATCTTATGCTGTGTGTCATCCCAACAAACACATTTACGTTGTAGCGATGTCTGCACAACGTTGTATTTTTTCAAAGGCAACGTTGCCGCTTACGTGTTCGCTACATTGTCACAACGTAGAAATGTAAGACGTGAGAAGGCTGTAGCAACGTTGTCGTGCGACATTCAGCAACCGCGAGGCGGCGTTCTTACTACTTGTATTAATACTTTTTGTGGCAGTTTATCAATACTGCCTAGAATACAGGATAAGCAGCAATTCTTTTCCAGTATTGCTTAATATGAAATATTGTTCATTTATTTTTCCTATTTAATTTAACAACTGCATGTGTAAACTTTAAAGTGTTTAAAATAACACACAAATGAATATAATCAAACTTTTTATTATATATTTCACAACATTTAATACATACAGTACACATCTAATTATAAGCAAACAGTATAAAGTTTAGATTTTATATATATATATATATATATATATATATATATATATATATATATATATATATATATATATATATATAATTAAACTAAAGGGTAAACAAACAAGAAAAGTAAACAAGAAATCATTAAAATGTAAATATACATATAAGTAAATATATAAATTAAAATTCAGACACTGGGCAGTGAAGCTCTGGACTGGAGAATACAGCAGACCGGGGAGCGCAGCTGAAGACCAGTCGTAGTTGTTGGTATGGAGAAAGCAGTCAGAGGAAGAAACAAATCCAACAGATAATCCAGCTTCAGAGATCCACAGCAGACACAAGTCAAAATAGGCAGTGAACAAGAGAGGACAGATGGAAACGACTATGACTAGCAAGTTATTGAAGTTTCAGACATTTATTGTAATTTCATTACATATAAAATCTCCAGTGAGTAATTATGTAGCCTACTTTATTTTAATGCTTTAATAATATATCATATACCAAAAATGCATACAATTAAATAAATTTAGAGATACAGGGAAAACAGGTTTGAGTTAACAGAAGTCAGAGTTAGTCTCCCAATAATTACTTAAATTATGAGAAGAGAAAGAACAGGGCCTGTAGTTGTGGCGTTGCTCGCTGTAAATGGAATGTTAAACTTAGTGTCATTTCAATAACAGCTGTACAAAGTAATAAAGTAATTTTTCATAAGCATGATCTATTTTCCACATTATGAACATGCTGTTTTAGGTAACAATACTACATTTATTATGATAGTAAATAGAGTAGTATACTTCTTACCTCATTCAATTATTCTTTCCATAGATCAGGAATTACAGCAACACTGATCTGAGGTGAATTCAACAGCTGAAAACATTCTGAAAGACAAGTTACATGAGTAATTTGAAAACAACAGTGAGTGGTTAAACAATAGAGTTTTATGCAACTTACACATACTTAAAATCCAGAAATTATCAATAGAAGATTACCTCCATGTGAAAATAGCCTGTTGAGCAAAGAAAAGAGTGGGTTTTAAATAAAACATCAAAAGACCAATCAAAATAGAAATTTAGACTAGCAGACCTTTTTATTAATATCTATATTAATCAGGCATATGAACATCAACTTATATACTTTAACTTATAGGGATAGCTCACCCAAAACTGACAATTCTGCCATTTAGCCTCATCCTTTATTTGATCCAAACTTATTTAGCTTTTTTTCTGCTAAACAATAAAAAAGATGTATTAAATAAAGCTGGAAAACTGTAACTATTTAATTAGTGTTTTCTTACTATGAAAGCAAATGCTTACAGTCTTTAGTGTTCAATAGAATAAAGAAACTTAAAGGTTTGGAATCACTTATTATTTACAGGGCAAATAATTTGTGAGTACATATCATTTTTGAGTGAACTGTTCCTTTAACGGGACGCAATCTGCACAGAGATGTTTTGTATTTAAAAGTTATTTTGTGTGTTTTGTAAAAAGTGGGTCGGCTCGTGTGATAAAGTATCATACTGACTGATCACTATGGATATGGAAAAAACTGAACTTCAAAAACATTATTTTCCATTTGACTAAAGACTAAGCGTAGGTAAATAATCAGGAAATGTTTTATCGAAAGATTTAACATAATGATTTTAATGTTGTTGCCGTCCGTGAACGGAATGCTGAAATGTTACTCGCTCGTAATAACTTCATTACGGCTTTTGTGTGTGTGTAATGTTGGAACAGATTGTTGTCGAAATCGTAGGTTTGTTTGAATATTCACGATTTACGTATCTTATTTAGCAAGACGAAGTAAAACAATACTCACGTCTCCTCGGTCGTTGATGAATGAGACGACGGCTTGTTGAAATTTAAACTGATTCAGCTGTGACCAGTAAATGTTGTACAGTGGTTGTCCACGCCACCTAAGCACAACCTAAAGTATGCGGCCCTCGTGATGTTTAAATGGCAACCTTATGACATCGTTGTGACAACGTTTAGCTACAACGTAGAATCCTCAACCTTTTTGCAAGGTTGGTACAACGTTGTAGGAAGGTCGCTACGTTGAGGCAACGTTGTGTGTTTGTTGGGATGTTGTTAAATATCTGCTTTTAGTCTAACGGCAGGATAATTGTGATGGTCGCTTTATGCGTTGTGTTGTATTAATAGTGTTTTGCTTGTGTTTGATGTGATTCTCACGGCAGTGTTTCCGTCTGGAAAACAGAAAAAGAAAAAACAAAGAGATGTCAGACAGCGAGGACAGTGATTTCTCTGATAATCAGAGTGAGAGGAGCAGCGAGGCTGAAGAGGTGGAGGAGAATGAGGTGAGAGACACTGTGTTAACAATACTGACCATGTATCAGATAAATATATAATAAATATACATGTATATCGCAGCTGAAACCATATTCACTCACATATTCATTTCGATGACTGGAGTATATTTAGGAAAGTGATTTAATATACAAAGGAAACCGAAGCGTCTGACTCTACAGTATTCTGTCTTAACTTACATTTGCCATGGTCATTAGGCATTACCGATGTTTCATGCAGATATTAGCTCTGAACTGTAACTGTTAAAATATAATAAATAATATTTAATGATTTGGACATTTTTAAAATACATTTTTAAAATAAATTTCACTTTAAAAATATGTAAAACTTTATAATGTCTGCTAAATGTTCAGCTTTGCTTTAAGTGAAATAAATGACTTAAAATTTTTGATCTGGATTATAATTAAATATTGCATTATCCAATTTAATTATGCATTACAGTTGCAAAGAAACAGAGCTGCTAGTCTCAACATAATTTATTCCATTTTAAAATAATGTTTAAATATATTTGGAGGGGCTTCACTCTGATACCTAAAAATATTAGGTTTTTTTTTTCCCAATGTTTTTTTATTTGTTTTTCACGTTATACAGAAAAAAAACACCCTTTCCTAGAACACCAGGTCTAGGAACAATATATAATCAAATCAAATGTCCATAGAGAAAATAAAAGATGAAAACATTACATGAAAATATGACAGGAGTTCCTTTTTTCTCATATTGTCATGTTGTGTGCGTCCATTTCCATCACAAGAGTTAAAAAAGGTTGCCAGACCTTATGAAATGTCTCAACAGACTCTTTAATAGTACGTCTTATTGTCTTCAACTTAAGATGAGACACCACTTTTCTTACCCAGTGATTGTGTTGGTGGAATAGGGTCTTTCCCTTTAAGCAATATCAGTCTTCTAGCCAGAAGAGAACCAAAGGCTAACATTTTAATTTGTCTTGTGTTGAGAGGAGCGTCCCCAGGGGCCACCTTGAACAACGCGAGAAATGGGGATGGCTCTACTATCTCCCCAAATGCCTCAGAGAAGGTCTCAAAAATACTAATCCAGTATATGTAAAGCTTTATTTTATATATATATATATATATATATATATATATATATATATATATATATATATATATATATATATATATATATATATATATATATATATAAATTTATATACTGTTTAGTAAAGATTTTGTTTTTTCTAAATATAGTCAAACAGAACACATTGTAATTCATGAAGAATAAATTAGTTTTTTTTAATGATTTAAAATGTACCTATTTCACCGATTGATTTATTGAGTCATTTTTGAAAAGAAAAAAAAAAGCATCTTTGGTTATGTGTTTGTGCATTTTTTAAATCTATTTTCTAATGTGTAGTCAGTGTTTTGGATAGTTACCTGTTCCTGGACTATTCACTTATTTGTTCTTCAAATTAGTCTGTGGATAGTTTGTTGCTAAATGATCTTTCTTTGCCAGATTCCTGTCCATTTTAAAGCTGATGTTTTTCTATAAGTGCCAAGAGGCTCAAGGTTCGAATGAAATGGATTGTCAAGGTTGCCATGAAATGGACCTATCGTGGTCCGTTTTTTTTAGTGTTGATTACAGTTTATTATCAAAGATTAAAGATTAAAATGAAAAGAAAAACAAACATGTAGAATTGTAAACGTGCACAACTTATTAATTATTAATCTCTTGAAGGAAGAGGAAGAACAGGGAAGTGTAGCCGGCAGTGACAAGGCTGAGGAAGAGGGAGAGGATTTGGAAGATGAGGAGGAATATGATGAAGAGGAAGAGGAGGATGACGACCGACCTCGGAAGAAAGCTCGGCATGGTGGCTTCATCTTGGATGAAGCCGGTTAGAAAAAAAAAAAAAAACGCTTCTATTTTGTGAATTTCTTAAAATGACCTCTTATTGGACTTGTTTATAACATCTTCAGCTTGAGATTTTTGTTTCATTGTTATTGTATATTTGAAAAATACGCATTTTGTTCCTTGCTTGATTAGATGTTGATGATGAGTATGAAGATGAAGATCCATGGGAGGATGGTGCTGAAGACATCTTAGAAAAAGGTAAGAAATTGATTTAAAAATAGATTATTTCTGCGTGTATTGTTGAAATGTATATATTTTTGTTTGTTTTTTACTGATATTATAACTGATGTTATGATGCCCTCTATATATACATCCATTAAAATAAGCCTAGGGAATTGGAGAAATCAGTATGTGCTATCTATTTTATAGTTATAACATATTCTAAAATTGATGGCACGGAGGCATTTAAAATGAATTACTGTACATGAAATATGCTGTATGACGTGATTTTGTATGTATTTCTTGCGCTCATTGGTTCTTTATTTCTTGTGCATGCCTCCTTCAGTTAACGGTAAACCCACTCCAGATTTCTTGCTCTCTGTTTTCTTTCTGTCTAATTGAACTGATTAATTCTCAAGTGTAGGGTTGTAACGCTATAACAGTATGACAGTTTATCACAGTTTGAACGTGTATGATTTTCATGCTATTATGATTTTCAAATCTGCAGTTTTAAATCAAAATAGCTGAGCATAAGCATCTTTCTGCTGCTCCGCGGCTTCTTTCTCCCTCATTGCTTACATGTCCAATTGGAAAATAGCAGGTGCAGACTTTTAGTGTGGGCTTCATATTTTTCCCCAAAAAAAAAGAATGTCAGGATGAATCCTGTTGCAGAAGTGAACATTAAGTTACAGTTTAATAATGATGTCACATAAGATGATCATGGGTGAATAAATTAAATGTAGGCCTGTCACAATAATCAATATATCTAATTATCAATAATTCAATTAAATATTCTTAAGAATCAATATAATTCATAACGTTTCATAAAATGGTCTTAAAATGACAAAAATATCGTTCTTCACAATATATTTTGGTAAAATATATCTTACAAAAAATAGATTTTATGACAGGCCTAAATGTAGATATAATACGTGTCTGTGAATATCAAAGCATTGATTGACTGTTACATAATTAATATAATAAACACCTCTTGAGAATTAAGAGGTGTATAGCTTTATTTTGGACATTTATTTTAATGAATGCATTTTTTTAAATTTAGAATAACAAAGGATTTATTCACTCCAAAAAAAAAAAACAAGTTATTTTTTTGATTAGTCATTGTTGCTGATAGAAAATTTTGTTTTATATTTAGCATAATCATTATGCAAGATTATTATCATACTGTGAAAATTTCATATCGTTACAACCCTACTCAATTCATTGTTTCACATTCGGTAAAATTCATTCCCATGATCTGCACCCCTCTAACATGTTTGTGATGTTTAAGACCATTGATGTTCAATTTGCTTACAAGGAGCATGGATGGCAAATACAGTTTGAAATGGCACTTTTTTTGCTTTTGCATAATTTAAAAAGTTAAGAAAAGGCTTTTAAAATACAACACTCACAGAATAGGGGAGTGATTAGTGGGGACTGACTGAGTTCTGAAAAGGAACTAACTCTATGGTCATTTGCCTGAAAATGCTCCTTCGAACACAACGGAAAACCCAATTCCTTCTGTTGATAGTGTTCAAATGTGTTTATTGTATTGCATCAGCTAACAGTGACATGACATCATTTTCATGTAGTTTCCATTTTTAAAATGTCAAAAGTGTTGTCAGCCTGCCCATCAGTGTTGATTTTTCTTTTTATTTCTGTTTACCTGGTTCTGTCTGTGCCTGAAATTGATGTGTGCTCATGACATTGTATTTTGGCACATGTTCCTCCCTCCCTGCCTTTCTTCCTTCCTCAACGCTGGATCTGAGCAGAAGAGGCTGAAGGTATGTGCTTAAATCTTCTGGAGTGCATGGATATTTGTTTTTTTGTCAAACTATGTGATCTGAAGCTGTGTTTACTTGCTCTGCTTTGGTTTTTAAAAATACATGTATGAATTTAAAGACAAAATTATTAGCCCTTAATTAGGCAATTCATTGGACAACATTGGCTTGGTCTGTAGCCAATTGAAAAAAATATATATTTTAAAGGTAATAATAATATCGAAAAACATTTATTTATCCAGCCAAACTAAAAGAAAGTAGGCTTTCTGCAGAAGAAAAAAAATATTATGGGAAATACTGTGAAAGTTTTCTTGTTCCATTAACCCATTTAATCCCACCTGGAACTATAGTTGCTGTTCATAATGGTAAATAATTAAAATATGTATTTTCATATATATAAATATTTATATATAATAAAAATATTTAAATAATATTTAATATAATATTTATTTGGAAATTCACAGGTGGGCTAATAATTTTACCTTTAACTGTATATCGTTTTTTTTTAAGATTATAAAAAAGCATTATAATTTTGTTTCTAAACAATAATTATTTCTTAATTATGTGTGGATATATTCTGTTGCATACATCCAGATGTACGTAACATTTCACAGTTCTACAGAAATTTTATTTGAATTATGTTTATCATTTAGCTTGAGTCTTTTATAGGGCCAAACAGAATGTGCATATGTTTTTTTCTATTTCTGCACAAAATTTTGTTTAAAAAAAAAAAAAAAAAAACGGATTAATGTGGGATAATTTTGGGAGAAACATAACACATTTTAATCTATTATTTAATTTACAATGCCCACTTATAGTGGTTAGACCCACTTATTTGGTAAACAAAGCAAGTTTCTCA